AAAGCTAGCGCTTGCACTGATGGATATGGCGCGTACAAACACGTATTTAACACGGCGGATGCTATGGCTGTAGATACGTCAAGAGATCGTGACCCTCATCGGACATTGTTAACCGAACTCATATCCGATCTAATACCAGGAAAGATGCTCCTAGTGATGGTCGGATGTCATTGGGCAGTGGATTTGGTGGCGGGATCGCTCCTACAAGTGTACATCCAACCCCCTCCAATCGGGACATTGTTACGGTGAGTCATGTCAGTCCCAACGCGATGTGCAAGTCAGTGGCTTCCAAGCAAATGTTTGCGGGTGATGGACGGAAACGTCGCCAGTGCGTCGTATGTCGGTACGAAGCCAGGTATCCTACATAAGTAACCAACTATTGCTACTCCCACAATGTGTACTTCTTTCGGGTTGTGTACAGCCATACCGACAATGATTTTACGCTCTCTCAGAAAACGTGGACCTGTTGGGACAAGTTCCATCGCATCTATATACCCCAAGGTCTATTCTCGACAAATGGGAATACATGAAGGTAATCTAACCTTGACAGGCTAACGAAGCTCCACGTCACCACCATGCAAGGCCCGCGAGCTCTTCGGGCGCTGCTGACACAGCCAGCCGTCAGAGCACTGCAGCTAGAGCTATAAATTTGTAAGCGGCAGTGACGTTTGCTGTTGCGGTAAATACACGTTCGTTTTTCTCTTGTACTTCGCACTTGTGCTCGTGTTCTGTAAGCATTTGTGAATACAAGAGTTGACGTTAATGTAATTTTTTGAACCCGAGCAAATATACTGTACTATGTAATTTTTTGAACCCGAGCAAATATACTGTACTTACTATGCTTCAATCTTAGGGGAAAAATATTTTTTATTAAACTACACTACTTTTAATATACCCAGGCGTGGAGACACATATCTTCAGCTCATTATAGTATTGTATCTGCTCAAAACTAAATGCTGGCTCACATAAAACACCAAGTGCCGCGCGCTCGTCGCTTCGGTCAGGCTGTCAGCTACAACAGTACCCAATCGTGATGTGTCGCGCGCTCATCGTGTTTGAACAAGCTGTCATTTTTGCCGCGAAACCGTGAGGTGCCGCGCGCCTATAGTGTTCAAGCAGACTGTTAGCATGCCCCAGCTTTGTACACCACTAAACCGTGATGTACTGTGAGCTCAATGCCCTCAAGCAGGATGCCACCTGCTCCACCTCTGCCCACGGCTTAAAAATTGGCCCGCCCGTTGCTGGGTCAGTATCACGGCGGAGACTGTGCACGCAAATTGGAATGGGTGCTGACTTCCAGCTACCGCTCTCATAGACTGTCGCTGTAAGATTCGACGTCATACAGAAGCTGGTCAGGCATGTTTGGCGATACTGAGCACAGTAGCAAAACATCGAGGCAATCAAGCGTGCTTATCTCATTTAACTTAGTTTTTCTTAGACAGCGGAATTTGGCGGCCTCTTCAAACAGAAAGTAGTTCAGAGAAATATTTGAAGCCGCATTAATAGGCAAACAGGAAGAAGTCCAAAACATTGCCTCGAATTACTTGCACCTAGAATAAAACGCGGAGTGTGGAAGCGTACACACTCCGTGCCTTTAAAAAATACGTCCTTACGCATCTCGATTTTCATATACAGTTGAGCCTTGGTCTAAATAGCAACCTGGGATGCTACATTCTGCAACCCTGCCATGAGATCAAGAAATACATCATCGCACTTCACCTGCCGAATGATCTCGATTCGTCTTGGCACCGACGCAGGCAGTAGCTCTCCAACGTTCTCATAGCCTCTTCCTGCCTGATGCCGTATCTCAGCAGCTGGCGGACCGCTCCTCAGTATCGTAGGCAGGAAACAAGCGTAATTCATCGGCGAAGTGCAATGTAGTGGAGAAGAAGAACGGCGGGAAACGAGCGAGATCCTTACGATACGTTAGATTTAGCGCAAAAAGTATTATCATATGCTGCTTGGGGGGTGGTGACAGGTCATCTTTCGCACTACATCCTTCCAGACTATCCGCGTGCTTTGGGTTTCGTATTCGAGGACAATACCTTCAAGTTTCTTGTCTCTACATCGTAGAGTGCGGCTCTCGTTAGTGGTGGGATAGCCACAGAATGAAAGCGAGCATGTGACTTGCTTGATGTATACTTTGACTAGTGGCAACTGGTGGCGGAACCGCCAAACCACGGTGGCTACCCTGTATCATTCATGTGCTGAAAACCGTACATCTCAAATTAAGATTAGTTTTGCCCAGTTTTTACATTAAGTATCCTACCTCTTCCATTGGGTGCCTTTCAAAACCCCCATAAATTTTTATTACTGGGGTTAGGGTGGATTAAACGGTGATAAAAACTTCGTGATAAAACTGCAAAGTTTGGTGAGACGAGAAAGTCGTCTCACCAAACTTCCCGTTTATCCGCTTTAATCACGCACCCCTATTTAGCAACTAGTTAAAAAGTAATTTGTGTTTTGTATATGATTAAGCGATTCCCCTAGCTAGCATATTTCTTGAAATTGAAGTTGAAAAGCGTATCTTCAAACGATTCGAAGGCGCGAAGTTTCACGCCTACCGCGGCCTCACTTCATTCCAAAAGCATTCTCCTACCGCACAATTAGACTCGCGGTGGTTGTAAGTAGGGCATATTCTCCCGCCGAATTGTTTGTCCGACTTTATTAACGTGTTAGCTTGTGCTATGGTTCTATTGGCCCTCAGCTATGAGGCAGAACACTTCCGCAATGACATCCAAGCTCCTAGACGCGGCTACAAGGTGATGGTTTTCTTCTTGGAGTATCGTCTAGGAGAAGCGTACGCGTTAACCCGATTAGTGTTGTGTGTTAATATGTGTTAGCCCGGAATGGTAGCGCCTACTACTATCAATCGGTCTCTTGACTTCGAGACTTCCTCTAAGCCTCTCCTTAACGTTGGGAATCGACTTAAACGCGTTCGTGAAGAGTCTCGTGATCACTGTGATCGACCAGAGCGGCTGGCGGGCTTCCACTAACTTTGCCAAAACCTTTTGTCGAAGTGGTGATGGCCACACAATTCGCGCAGGTGCAAAGCTATTTAAAGCTCTAGACATGGCGTCCTCCGCAGCATTTAACACGCATGAGAGTGTGGAGGGTGGCACAGCAAACATGAGGCAAATTGATTCCCTTTTCATGGTACCTACGTAAAACGACAACAACAGACCCAGAACCTGATGGTGGGGCTGTAACTTCCTGGGTCTTCCCCCCACGCGGAGAGTACTGAGGAAGCTCAAAACACTCTAATAGGATCTCGAGCGCATCTCGATTCAAAATACACATTTTGTACTGTCAGGTCGCTATTTATGTAGATAGACACAGATATATCTTACCGAGATAAGCTCGTCTTTGTTATCAGGTTCCCATCGGTGCCGTTAAGCCACAATCGCATCCAGTCGGACTATATGGGGTGCTTTAAGCAGTCGAGAGTTACGTAGTGCCTCATTTGTACGCTCAATACGTAGCTTCTCTTCATGGAGGCGTCGTCGCAGGCGACCTAAAAGTAGAGAGTACCGTTTGCGACGTTTGTCGCGTCCCGCATAGCAGCACTGAGCACTAACACCTCTCCGTCGCTGCTCATAGCAGCTTTTCTATCGAGATCTTCTATCAGGATGTTGCAGGGAAGAAGGTTCAAATCATTTAGCGATCTTTTACCATCTTGATAAATAGAGATTGTAGAGCTATTTTTGTCCTATAATGACTTGTCACGATCGTCAACCTTTATTCAACACAGTATGTTTTGAACTTCAAACACAGCCAATTTGGGACAAAACACTATTTAATAGGGGGGTTTGGATGTAGGTATTTCTAAATGCCGATATAAAAACGCATCACCGTGATAAAAGGGTGATTAAAGGGCTCATAAAAAATTGCGATTAAACTGTTTTATATGGGTTTTGGAAGGCACCCATTGCGTTTTATTTAAGAGAGTGTGTCCTGCACCCAACTGGGTTGTCGTGTTGAAGCCAGACTTTTACCCCTAGCCCCTCGACGGCATCTGACAGGCTGTATAGCGTATACACACGCCGTCAGTCACTGATTTTAGGGGGAGGTCCAAATCGAAATTCTGCAGCCGGAGAAATGGACTTGCGAGTGATGCCGCCAAGGCCTACCGTCTGCGCATCGCGAAGCAGCTCCGGCAGTGAGAGATCGGCTTCAGGGAATGGTGGTCTGAGTAATGAGGAGTGGGTAGAGTCTGCTTCGAGTCCAATGAGTACAAGGAGCAGCATTGCATCTATGACCGGAACGTCTGAACGGTACGAGAGTTCCAGATCCAGCAGCATGACGTCGTCGCGCCAAGCGTTCGGACGGTCCGACAGCTCCAGATCCGGGCAGGACGATGACAGCGACATCAACAGCAGTTTTGTAGCTGTCCCTCTCCAGCGTACACATTTGATTCGTGGGAAGATTTTCACAGTTATCTGAGTGAGTATGAAGCTCAAACCTACCAGGTATGTATCGCTTTTCATTTGAGTATCATACATCGTTGCAATGTTGTCATTCTCCCGTTACGTTCTTGTAGAGCTTCCGTGTCCGCACAAATAACACAGTTACCTGTCGGAACAGCAAAATTAAGGCGGCGGGCAGTTCGGCTCCGTTGATCCCAGAACGTTGGGTACACTATAGCAAGATGATAGTGTTTACCCACGCAGGCAAGTACAAATCGCGAGGCCAAGAAAAAGAAAACGCCAGGAGTCGAGGGCACTTGACTGTGAAGCTCAGGTATGTGATTGGGTTCAGTTGGTACTCAGATAAGATTTATTAGCGTAAGTTGGTACTCAGATGGGATTTATTAGCGTTGATTTGGGCTAAGTTGGGGTATTTCATGTCCTAGATCAACGCCTGTGTTCAAGTCGTGGATGCAGAGGGTCCTCAGTTTGCTTTGAGAAGCACTTCAACCCGATTGCAGCACTGCCACGAGCTGAAAAAAGAGACATTCGATCAATACCCGCACATTCGGATGACGTTGGGGTTCAGCTGAGATGACAACCGTGGACGAGCTTCGCAAGGCTGGCGCTCAGAAGAAGGGTATCTTAGTATACATTCGGGAGAACTCGGTTGGTGACTATGGTGGGCAGTCATTTGGGCACCGAAAACCCTACTAGTGACTGAGTTGGGCACAGAGGCCCGTGTGGGCAAACGAGGTGGGCACAGAGACCTAACTAGTGACTGAGTTGGGCACAGAGACCCGCGTGCACAACGAGGTGAGCACAGAGACCCAACTAGTGACTGAGTTGGGCACAGAGACCGGATCACCAGTTATTGGTGGACACCAACGCCCCATCGACATCGATGATGATAACGTCGAGTTCGAGCTTCAAAGTCCGCTAAAGTCAAAGGGGCGCCCCAAGCAAAACCTAAAGCTGTCAAGGCCAAACGGAAGCTAATAACGACGCTGGTACAAGACGACATGGAGATGACCAGTAAAAAGATGAATCTCGGTACACTTGATGAAATCCTTGTCGGAGATGCGAGCTACGTGTCTACTGCTGACAAAGTCATGCAGTTCAAGCTCTTCACATTTTTTTTACCAAGGTAAAGCCCCCTATTGCTCACGAGATTTCTCCGCTACCTGCCAGCAATCCCCTGATAAGGCCGAATGAAATAGTGCGAATCTTTAACAAGGACCTTATCGGAAAATGCACTTCCAAAGTGACGGCGTACCAGTTTAAGCACCCTGGGGTTCGTGAGATGGAACTTGCGTTAGAAATCGTGGGCGTCGGAGTTTTTGAAAACGCTACCGTGGCAATAATGAGAAAGTGGCATCGAGCTGCTACTACAATCAAGAAGATTCAGTCCGCGCTAATCTGGCTTGCAAAGATTGAGTTTTCTCGCTTGGACGGCACTCATTTCGCCGTGAACGAAGACCCAGATATTCCAGGAAAGTTGAAAGCACTTCCGGTATTATCTACTGAGGTATGATTGCTCGCTTATTTATGGAGATACAGAGCTATCATTTTGTTGTGGTGTGTAGTCTAACATTTTAGACTTGACAGCGAGAAACTGGATTAGCGACGAGATGCAACTGGTCGTGGAAAAATTGTTTTCCTCAGATCACAGTATTGTCATGTTTGACTCAGCCACGCTTGGCGTTGAAGTGGATGAATCAGTATCTACCAGCTCCGCGACTATTCAAGCGAAGCTGTCAAGCTTATCCAACGAGAAGGTTTTTATCCCAGTAAATTGTGCACACAACCATTGGTGCTCCATTACGCTGAACCTGGCTGATAAGCAAGCCTACATCTACGATAGCAACGCATCGTCGTATCTTGTTAGCGTTCGATCCGTGGCTCAGAAAATAATAGCGCTTCTTCCGGGGACTGTTGGACATGGCATTCGTGTGCGCAATTTCGAATCGGGACTAGGAGTCCAGACAGACAACTACAACTGCGGTATTTACGTTCTTATTGCGTTCGAAAACTTTTGTGGTGCCGATCAAGTCGGGCTTCTCGACAAGAAGACGTTGCAATGCATGAGATACCGCTACCTGCGCTTATGTTTCTAGTTGTAGCGAGATCTACCGGATTCGAAGATGTTTCGAACAATCTCAATGTAGTTCTTCATTATGCTTGCCAGCTCTGTGTTGTTACGTCTGAAAGATAGCGATTTTCTTGCTAATTTTGGACATGCTAGCTAAATACAGTACAACAACGACTTGACAGTCTTGCGCAGGGTCCTCCGCAGAAACTGCCTCGGCGCGCATCTTAAGTGGTCTGACTCTCTTACTTTAAAACTCTATATCCGGAGATGTGTATACAACGCGAGGCTAGTTCTTTTAGTTGGTTACCATTCGTGTCGAATTTGGGTGCGAGATGGTCATCTAATGGTTGCAATAAGGTCGGTTGGGCATCGCTTGGTAGAAAATGTCTCGTCTCATATTTTCCGGTTGGGTGCAGCAACGAGTGCCTTTATTTAACAGCAGGTAAATTTGCTTGTAGCGTGTACATATAGCGGGCAATTAAGGTAATTTTCGCGCTTGTTTCTCAGTAATCGCACTGAAATGTTCTGTTGATAGACCCATACCTAGATAATAAGCCTTATTAAAAAAAAAACGATTCAACGATGCAGCTGTTATTGCTAAACCGACTCTTTGGGGGGGATCTTGATACCGTCTTTAACTACATGTCTTAAACCTTTCGTGGTAAAAGATAGCAATTCTCCCTTATCCACTTCTCTTCACAAAGTGCGAGATAATACCCTCTAAGAGGGAGCATGGTGCAACCTCTTAGAGCAGCCCGAAAATAGCCACGACGGAATTATCATAAAATGAACAAAATTTTCGATTAGGTGTGAGTACAAATCCCCAGCGAAGATTTGCAACAGTATTGTAATTTGATAAAAGGAGCTCCAAGCTCCCTTTTACAAATACATATTTTTAGCTTTGTATATTATAGTCCATCCCACATGTTCGCGCAAGGGTTAAAAAAGGCAAAATGCCTCCTTGCTTCGCGAAAGGGTTAAGGAGTCCACTAACAAAGTCGCTTTTTGACTCTAAGGATTAATCTGCAACATGGAGGGAAAAAATCTGTATTAGTCACTGGTAGGCCCCCCAAAAATATAAAAGTCCAGTACTATACAATTCTAGTACTAAGCCGCGCGTGCGCGGGCGAGCTCTGAAATTTACTCTAGCGTTGCTAGTGAAAAATGACTCGTGATTAGTTGTGCGCGCGTGCAACTGAATTTCCATAATCTCGTTGTTTTGAGAGGCTTCTGAAAAAAAGAAGATGAAAATGACTGCATGAAGAAGCAGTATGTGGAGAAATATGCTAATATAATGCCGTATGAGCTGTGTAGAGTTGCAGGGGCATTAACAAATGTGGATCTGATGGAAATGTAAGCTCTACTACTGATAGCGATAGTGCAACTTCTGCGTCGCGACGTCCAAACGTTAGTGAGTACATGCGAGCGTAAATGAGGTAAAAAAGGATGGAGTGGACCTCTTAGACGAACAACAGGGATACAAAAAACTTGATGCAGCTTTTGAATGCTAGTAGTGGCTGTTGTAGCACAAAGAGTAGTAAAACATCGTGAGCGGCATGGCTAATCTAACTAGTGCGCCATTATAATCTGTAAGAACGTAAATATTCTTTTACCAGTTATAAGAATTGGCCATAATTATCGTTAGTGATCATCACCCTTTTATCTTTCGCATTATGCATTGTAGTGCTACTGGCTAGTACGGAGTTGATGGCGTTCGTCACAATTGCGCTCTAGATTCTTAAGTCGCTGCGTTTCGTTCAAAACAGCCTGACTTGGAACAAAGTAGCGCAAATTATCCAAAGAAAGCCGTTCTGTAAGAATCATTTGAGAGCGTGTCCTTACTCGTGTCACTGCCACGTAAAACGAGGAACGTTGTGGCTGTTTTCGTGTGTGGTGACGCATTGGACCAACAATTAGCTTCTGAACGGTGAGACCTTTGACCACCTTTCTGACGTAAGCGAAAATGCTGGAACACCTGGTGCTTGAAGCATTTTAATGGTAAATGAACGGTCTGGTAGAGTAATGGAGATCCCAGGTTTTTCACGTGCTTGTACGGGACAATTCCTGGTGCAAGTCCGTCCACTATTGATCGCGATTTGTCGTATTCAGTAGTTGAATAAAGACGATGGCGGGGGTTTCGTGTGAAGACACACACTTAATCTGAAGTCCTGACCGTCAATTTTAATCTTTCGCGTCGTCAATCGAGTCGTGTCGTGTTGGTCGGGTTGGATATTGATAAGGTGACCGATTGTACCATTGGCTAGCTCCAGTGCTCGACTCACATTTATAGTGCACTGGACTGGCATCCCAACTGCTAGATTCAACACAATGGCCATATTACCAGTTTTGTCGTCACGAATAGCTTTAAGCTACTTTGTTGGGATCGGGATATCTGGAAACGAGACTTCGAAATAATGGCGGGGTACTGATGCAAGGTTTTGGACTGTCGACAACTAAAACATTCTGCCGATTGATCATTAAATTCACAGCGAAGCGTGTTCGAAGTGACGATAATCGGACAGAACGATTTAGTATCCATTGCAGACGACTTCCAGTTATCATTGTAGCATTGATTATTCACGTAATCGATGTCGTCTTCAGTGTAATTCCCATATCTCCATCTCTCGAGAATTCTGGCCCATTTTGGGTCTGCTCGATGTCTCATGTTTTCCTCAAGAAAAACTACCTCGTTTATCTGTTGGTAAGCCTGAATTCCGCGTATTCTCGCAAAATAGGTGGTGCTGTTGTTGCTTGAGGTCGAGTTAGACGTAGGCTGTGGAGGATGGTCGACAAACGCCGGAACACCAGCAACTGGGAGTTGTTGAAGCCAATCGCCCACAAAAAGTACGTGAATTCCGCCAAAAAATACATCCGGTTTCTGGTTTAAGCCACGTAGCGCTTGGTCCATCATTCCAATAAACTTAACTTCTGTAGTCGATGTTTTATCCATAATAAGCATCTTTAACCGCGCAAATCGCTCTCGCTGTTGAATACTGTATCGCTTCGACGTCATGTTCGTGTTTATCCCCCATTGAAGAAGCTTATGGATGGTCTGTCCATTTGCAGCCTTCGCAACAACACCCTGATATGTCACTGTTTCAACTACATCTGAGCTTTCCCAAGCTTTTGCAAGTGCTTGGAGAGCTTTAATTACTAAGCTTTTCCCTGTTCCTGGCGAACCGCCTAAAACCCAATCATTTGGTCCACGTTGTCACAACTCAATGACTGCAATAATCTTGAGCCAGCGCGAACAAACATTTTATGTTGCTTACGGTTCAGCTGAAAACAAACTGACACCTCTCGGAGTGATGCGTTCGCATGGAGTATTGTATTTCCAATACTTCCGGTGTCAAAAGGATTCGGCCAAGACTCATCATTCTCACCATTATTAAAAAGCATTCGTACACGAGTGGGATTATCAGAGCATTGCACGTGTGTCTCGTCATTCAATGCAGGCAATGTTGATTTTTCTTCAGCCATTGCAATTCGTGACCTCCATTCATCATCAGAAAGCTGTGGTATCGCCAGATTACCCTGCTTAAAAATGAGACAGCTCGAGCTTGCTGCAAGCATCGATGACTTTTCCCCTAACTCTAGTAGTGATATATTTTTTGTAGTAGGCGATGCCGAAAAATAATTTTCTGGGATGTCATCACTTGAGCCATCAACACAAATTGCTTCTTCAGCTTGCTCCGACGCACCGTAGTTGCTGCCGTCGTCGGAGTAATCATCTCCATCCACCATAGCTCTAAATTGCTCCATATTGGAATCTGACCGTTTCCTCGCTAATTCTCGCGACGTATAGTAATCGTTGGAGTTCTGTAAGAACTGACGGGCAATTTCAGGTGCTTTATCTCTCCACCATTTTACATAGAAATCGCTGAGGTTTTGTTTTGGAAAATCCCCACGTCGTCGGAACGGCTTAAACAGTACCAGTAAAGATTGTTGAAGCGTAAGTTGTGCCTCGAGCTCCACGTTGTCCGATCGAGCATCCGGTAATCGTTTTCCAATGAGGGTAGCGACTGCAGGGAATTTTCTTATGTGTAAACTATGAGTAGTAGCTTGACCGTGATCGGAAAGAAAACGCTCTCCACTTACATTATTCTCCTTTTTCCAATATTTTGTGAAGTCCATGAGAGACGCCATCTCAAGCACATCGGGTCGATAGATATAGTCAAAAACGGCGCTCGTTGGCTTGTACGTCATCGTCGAGCTACTACATCTCAACATTACGTCACATGATTCCTCAGTAAAAATGAATTTCACAAACGCGCTCAGAAACACTTTCACGAATTCGGTAGACGTGTAATACGGGGAAGCACGAATAACAAAGCGTGCTGCCAATGGGGCGGCAACTTCTTGTGGTTTTGAAAGGAAACAACACATTGATTGTATGCAGCGTTTGCCCGCTTCAATCTCCGATTCCGACGGGGTCCTCTTTGACGTAGCCTTGTCAAATGCATGCATGTAAATTGCCAG